GTGGGGGCTTGGTTTTTTTGAATAGCTGGATCCCTCATTTAATACAAAACAGCACACAGTGTTTGTTCAGCACACAGAAGTTTGGAAGTTCACTCAACAGAAAACACTTGAGCAATCCTTGCTCCCATAAAGTAGCAGTTACAGGAGAAGTTAAATTGCTAGCGTGAGAAGGTTGTATAATCTGGCCCCATATAAATTCACTTGAAAATAAAATGTCAAAATCAGCCCACATTTACTTGGGTTCAAACTCCATTGGCTGCAACATACATACAAATGTCAATAAAGAATGTTTTTAAAAGATATAAAACAAGTCATTCTAAACCGTGTTTTCAATGTTGATATGGTAACTGGTGCTTCTTTTCATATTAACTTTCAGACTGTTGGGCTGGACAAAACTGGAGCAATCTCCTTACAGGCTACTCAGAATTAACTCATTGTGAAAACATATACACATATTTTTACATTACATTTATTTTAAAACCTTCCCTACCACCACCCAATTTAGTTTTCATTAAGTCTTCTGGTATATGGTTTATTATATGAAATAGAAACGGAAATACCTCTAAAATCACCATTAAATGTGGGTGCAATTAGCAGTCAGCATACTTCCAATTGTCTTGATAACCAGCCACCACACTTTCCAAAAACAGGATGACATTCCATGCAAACTTTCTGAAAAATTCAAAAACAAGGAAAAAAACCCTCAGTCAATACATTTATAGACCTCTGCTATCAGATAAATGAACATAAAAATAAGGCAATACAGAAAGAGAGAAGAGAATTGGTTAAGAGTCTTTATATATCAGCTGCTACATAGTCCTATACACTGTTTGGTAAGTGGTGTGAAATCATTGCAATAGAACCTAATATTGGGGTGTTTTTTATGTTCTGAATCTTTCTTACTCCACTTTTAATGATGAATTGACACAAACTTCCAGTACTCTGCATTTTGCTTTGGTAACATCAATTAAAGTTCCATCAGGCTGTGCAAGTATGCATTACAATTTGGACCACTTATACTGAACTGTTTAGTCTCGTGTTGGGTTAATTCCAGCTACAATCCCAGAGGTAAAAGGCTACTGGGTAACTCACTCTGCCAACCAGCCACCAAACTTTCCGTACAGTTTATTCTGATTTTAAATTAATCTTCCAGTAAAACAACAAAAAGGAAGCACCGGGCTCTGCACACACCAAAAGGTAAGAAGACAAAAGCGGCTATTGAGAGGCTGAGAATACATTAGCTGTTCACATATAATACAGAGACTGTAATGCAAAACAACAGGACAGGGTCTGAATTTCACAGAACTCAACAGCAGGTTATTGACTGAAAACACTAAGTAGAAAAAATGCATCACTGGAGAGAAAGTTTGGGGAAACACTATTAGAACATCAGTTTAATGGATATACTGTTAACTAAAATAAAATTGGTGGAGAGGTTACAAGTAATCCATAAAGAGTACAAAGAACTATGACATTTTCAATTGAAAAAATACCCTATTGGTACAAAAACAAAACAAAACAAAAAATATACTGAAAGATTTAGCTTCTTTTTTTAAAGAAATACCAAAAATGCGGATTATTGTATGTCCATGTTATATATTAAGAACCACGCAGGAATTCATCAGCAAGCTATGTGTTTGACTAACTTTTAGGATAACCTAAATTAAAAGTCACCAACCAGCATTAAAAACATTACTGACCAAGAGCCCTAGACACAAGCCATCGAACAAATATCTAACAAGTATATAATTTTTTACCTTGTTCTGCAGTATCTACACACCACTGTACACAAAAGCCACAAGCACTTACATCAAGCCACTTGTTTCACTAAATGTAGGGACTTCAACATCTTATGGTAAAAATTATGGTAAAAATCTACTTTGATATTTTTAATTAAGAATTTAGATATTCGTGCATTCCCTTATTTTATAGGTACTGTTTATGCCCAGAAAATCATTAATTATATAAAGCTGCTTTAATAATAGTATACACCACAATGGATTTAACAACAGAAGGGGGGGGGGGGAAGAGACATACATTTAAGATGAGATAGAAATTAACAAAATGGGAAAAAAAATCCATAAACGTTGTCAAGTTCCCAGTTACTCGGTCAATATAAATCTTTAGCAAACCCGCTTTCATCATTCCAATAGGAGCAGATCACAAACTAGCGAGTTTATATGCAGAGCCTACGTATAAGAGAATAAAGTACATTTGCAAGGAGGCATTGAGAGGCTTATTTCTATTCATAAGGGGACATTGAATCCAATTTGTCCAAAGAAGCAGGCAAAGCACCATCTGGTCTCCATAATGATTGAGGGGTAATCCTTTTAACAGAAAGGGTAGTGAGCAAGCTTCTGTTGAGAACCTCAAAAGATAGACATCAATTCTTCAGAGCTCGAGTCATTGGTACAACTTCCATTGTGCACGTCTGATACCATGAACATATTGTATAATAGGTGAAGGAATAAATTTATCTAAGACATATTATCTGTATAACAGGGTCTCAGTTAGTCTAGGAGCCAATTAAAAGTACAAAAGAACAGTCAATAAATTTCACAGAAATAACGATATGGGATTTTTTTCAGCACCCCAGGACTTCAGAAAGCCAGGACAGTCTAAGCATTCAAAACAAGGGAAATAAAAAATCATGACATCTGCAAGACTACAGAGCATCAACACTCTCTAAATTAATCGTGGTCATTGCTATTTTCCTCATATTTGTATAGAGATTTTTCCTTCAGTGACCTACAATATAGATGAGTTGGGGAAATCTGTTTGGTACCAAATCCAAGATGACACTGGTGCATTGGAAAAAGGACTGTAAGCCAAGTTCCAGTTGCTTTGATTCTGAGATACCACATATTTCAAACCCCCATAATTTGAACATGAAGGACTGACCTCAGCTACATCTAAAGAATAAAAACATAATTTTTCATAGCACATATGTGTTTAAGAGATTAATTATCCCAACAGTTTGGAAGGATGGTTGTATGGACACCTCTCGAACAAAACCAGTTTCTATTAAACGTTTTATGTCATCATAAACAGTGTAGTTGTAGAGTGGCTTACCTCATTCAAGGATGATAAAATAGGTTTATTTACTTTCAATTGTACTAGACATTCCATGAAAAAAAGGTTTTAGTCTTCACCCTAGGTGCTCCATGACATTTTTAAAAATAGACTACTCCAGAAATCACACACACACACACCACCACCACCACACCCAATAATTAACGTATGTCAAAATCCAGCAGCTAAAAACATTTCTCCATGTTTATGATCTTTCATATAAAGTCCTTCCAATCTCTCTGGGCTCAAGAACAAAGACATGCATTGTAGCAGGCTCTGTAGCTTATGTTTATCGGGTAATCGAGTTGTTGATTACTTGCTAACATCCCTACATGTACTTTACAGGTCCGATACTTGGCTGAATCTCACGCTAAAAGAATAGAGTGTCACTTGAATGATATTAAAAGAGGCAGTGGTGAGGGATCTGGGTCACAACTGAACTCCATCACTATGAAATCATTAGAAAGATTATTTTTAGACTAATACAATCTCTTTTCCAAGTAGGCAGATCCATGTCATTGTCACAGTGTTGCCAATAACCATCAGAACCAATAAAAGGATGATGTGTTTCAGTGAAAAATCCAGGCTCCAAAAGAGAACTTAACCCTTGTTATATTGCCATTGCTCAGCTGTTATGAAAAAGTAAGCACTTCATTGAGGGAAAAATGGTCAAATTTGCCTTTACCACCCCACACTCCATGAACTATTTGTTTGAACTCTGAATTCAATAGACTAAGAGCCTTGTTTAAGACTAAGTGTAAAACATTAAAGTAAGGGGAAATTCAACAAGAGAGGCGGGGCAATATAATCACATATACTCCATGGCTACGTCTACACTGGCCCCTTTTAGGGAAATGCGTGGGGGATTTAAATATCCCCCGCGGCATTTAAATAAAAATGTCCGCCGCTTTTTTCCGGCTTTTAGAAAAGCCGGAAAAGAGCGTCTACACTGGCCCCGATCCTCCGGAAAAAGCGCCCTTTTCCGGAGGGTCTTATTCCTACTTCGAAGTAGGAATAAGACCCTCCGGAAAAGGGCGCTTTTTCCGGAGGATCGGGGCCAGTGTAGACGCTCTTTTCCGGCTTTTCTAAAAGCCGGAAAAAAGCGGCGGACATTTTTATTTAAATGCCGCGGGGGATATTTAAATCCCCCGCGCATTTCCCTACTACGATGGCTGAAATTAACATGCCCCTTCTGGAAAAGGGGCCAATGTAGACGAGCCCCATATGTAACTGGGCAGTTAGCTGGTAGAGTGATAGTAATACCATGCATGGAAAAATGCAAATAATCCTAACTGGAACACATTTTCTGTCTGAGGATATATTGAAGAATTAGAGATTGGAATATGGGGCAGAAGGCCGAAGGAAGATGTGGAGAATGTCAGACTAAGGCTAGCAAGACCACCTAGAGCCCATGAAGAAGAGAAAGGTATTGTATTTCCTTTCTTTTACTGGTGACATTAAGATGAGATCAGACATCAGAAAGCTATTCTAGTGAACCAACAAGGCATCCGCTATAGAGACTTTTCATGGAATACAGGCAGCAAAATCTTGATGTCCTATCGTTCTGGCTAGTAGCAAACAAGTTTTCATGCCAGTCTTCCACTGCTAGAAGACATCACAGAAAAAGGATGGGCAGGAGTCCACTCCTCTGAATATCATGGCCACTTGAAAAAAAACCACAACCCTATCTGAAGTTCCTATGCTGAAATTAAGAAATGGGAAGATTGGGGGCGAGGGGATATAAAAGAAAATAAAATGTCAGGGATGGTATTTGGTCCTGCCGCGAGGGCAGGGGACTGGACTCGATGACCTCTCAAGGTCCCTTCCAGTTCTATGAGATAGGTATATCTCCATAGTATCAATGAGCTCTCTGTTCTACTAGTAAAAATACTGACCTCAGGTTCCATATTGCAACCCTTTGTACAAACCACTGAAGAGTTTGTACAACAGGTAGTGGATTAATCTAAGTGAGCCCACACTGACAGATGAATGTGTTTTTCTTTAGATGAGTGTGGTAAAGGGATCCCTGACCTTTCTTATGGAAGCACTTATTGTTTAGCACTTGGCATTGACCTCCGGTGGGAGACACCATGGCAAGTGCTACTGATCTTCTATTTTTTTTCCCACTTTTTGGGGTTTTTTGTTTAAGTATGTGCTTATTTTTGAGACAAAATGATCTAGCCTTTGACAGGAGTTAAGTATGTAACAAAAGTGTCTCCAGAACTCACCAAAATCAGACTTCTGTCTATTCCTTCAGGCATTCTGCTTAAAAAAATTTGAAATTCTGAACACAATCTGAAATTCTACAGATTTTTTTTGTCAAAACAACACTACATAATCATTCCAGTTTCAATTATTTTGGTGATTTATTTCAAAGTACAGGTCAGCAAGTATATGGGTAACACCACCCACACCCACACCCACCCACCCACCAGAGAGTAGAGAATTAATTTATTGCATGTCAATTACTGTTTGTCATTCCTCCTGCCCTGGCTGGGCTCTGGAAGGAGCCAGACATCTACAACCCCCCCAGCCTAGCACCCACCTGCAAGGTCCCCCAGCCAATATGCCTGAACACCCACCTCCCCAGAGCCCAAACG